CCACTGGAAAACAGCTACTGGCATCTGGTTCGTAGTGGTCAGGGATGCTGTAAAATGTTCCACAAAGCCCAGGACTATCCCCACACAAAACAATTATCAAGCCCCAAGTATCAGGAGAGCTGAAGTTAAGAACCCTGATCTAGCTCTATTGTGAATAGTCTTTTTTTTTTTTTTTTGAGACAGAGTCTCACTATGTCGCCCTCAGTAGATGCCATGGTGTCACAGCTCACAGCAATCTCAAACTCTTGGGCTTAAGCGATTCTCTTGCCTCAGTCTCCCAAGTAGCTTGAACTACAGTTGCCTGCCACAATGTCCAGATATTTTTTTGTGCTGTAGTTGTCACTGTTGTTCGGTAGGCTTGGCCTAGGTTCAAACCTGCCAGCCTTGGTGTATAGGGCCAGTGCCCTACCTGCTGAGCTATAGGCACTGAGCCTGGTACACAAATTTTTGTGTGAACATGTTTTTCACTTCTCTTGGACATTATGTAATTTTATTTTATCGAAATAAAATAAAAGGCCAGATGCAGTGGCTCACACCTATAATCTAGAATTCTAGGAGGCTGAGGCAGGTGGATTGCTTGAGCTCATGGGTTCAAGATCAGCCTGAGCAAGAATGAGACCCTGTCTGTACTAAAAATGAAAAACTGAGGCAAGAGGATTGCCTGAGCCCTAGAGTTGAGGTTGCTGTGAGATATGACGCCATGGCACTCTACTAAGGGCGACAAAGTGAGACTCTGTATCAAAAAAAAGAAAAAAAATAAAAATGTAAAACTTCGGTTCTTCAGCTGCCCATGTCAAACGGTGAAAGACTACTTGTTTATGGTATTTGACAAAGCACATATAAAACATTTCTATAATCACAGAAAGTCTTACTGGAGCGTGAGGATGTAGACTATGTAAAATATGGTGCCATAAAAAGCACTACCCAAATGTAAAAGCATACCTTGTTTTAGTCTGCTTTGCTTTACTGCATTTTGCAGATACTGTTATTTTTTATAAATTTGTAAGTTTGTGGCAATGCTACATGGAACAAGTCTGTCAACACCATTTTGCCAACAGCATGGTGCTCATGTCTCGTCTCCATTTTGGTATTTCTTTCAATATTTCAAATTTTTCATTATTGTATCTGCTTTGGTGGTTTGTGATCAGTGATCTTTGAAGTTACTACCGTAAATGTTTTGTTGCGCCACGAACTATACCCACATAAGATGGTGAATTTAGCTGATAAACGCTGTGTGTGTTCTGACTGCTCCAGCAACTGGCCAGTCCCCTATTTTATTCTTCTCCTCAGGTCTCCCTATTCCCTGTCACACAGTATTGAAATTAGGCCAATTAATAACCCCTTAAGGGCCTCTAAGTGTTTAAGTGAAAGGCAAGTGGTACATCTCTCACTTTAAATCAAAAGCTAGTAATAATAATTAAGCTTAGTGAAAAAGGCCTGTTGAAAAGCAAGAGAGGCTGAAAGCTAGGACCCTGGTGCCAAACAGTTAGCCAACTTGTGAATGCCAAAGAAAAGTTCTTGAAGGAAATTAAAAGTGCTACTCCAGTGAACACACTAAGAAAGTGAAACAGACATATTAATAGCACAAAATGTTAGTGGTCTAGATAGATCAAGCCAGCCACAATATTCCCTGAAGCTAAGGCCTAATCCAGAGCAAGGCCCTGAATCTCTTCAATTCTATGAAGGCTAAGAGAGGTGAGGAAGGTACAGAAGAAAAGTTGAAAAGTTGAAAGCCAGGAGAGCATGGTTTATGAGGGTTAAGGAAAAAAGTAATCTCTAAAGTGAACCAGCAAGGGCTCGTTTAGAAGCTGCAGCAAGTTATCAAGAAGAACTAACATTGTTGATGTGCATGGCAACACTAAACAGATTTTCAGCGCAGATGAACAGCCTTATATTAGAAGGATATGCCATCTAGGAGTTTCATTGCTGGAGAGGAGAAATTAAGGCCTGGCTTCAAAGCAAAAAGGACAAGCTGACTCTCCTGTTAGAGGGTAAAGCAGATGCTGATTTTAAGTTGAAGCCAATGTTCACTTACCCTTCTAGAATATCCTAGAGCCCTTAAGATTTATGCTAAATCTACTCTGCTTGTGCTCTAGAAATGAAACAACAAAGCCTGGAGGACAGCACGTCTATTTACAGCATGGATTACTGAATATTTTAAGCCAATTATTGAGATCTGCTCAGAAAAAAAAAATTTCTACCAAAATATGACTCATTGACAATGCACCTAGTCTCCGAAGAACTCTGATGGAGGTGATTAAAAGTTGTTACATCCATTCTGCAGCTCGTAGATCAAGAAGTAATTCTGACTTCCAAATCTTATCATTTAAGATACAGATTTCATAAGGCTATAGATGTCATAGATGGTGATTCCCTGATGGATCTGGGCAAGGTCAATTGAAAACCTTCTAAAGGGTGGTGCCTGTGGCTCAAAGGAGTAGGGCACTGGCCCCATATACCAGAAGTGGTGGGTTCAAACCCAGCCCCAGCCAAAAACTGCAAAATAAATAAATAAATAAATAAATAAAAGGAAGCCTTCTAGAAAGGATTCACCATTTTAGATGACATTAAGAATACTCACAGGCCGGGAGCGGTGGCTCACGCCTATAATCTTAGCACTGTGCGAGGCCGAGGCAAGTGGACTGACCTGAGCTCACAGGTTCGAGACCAGCTTGAGCAAGAGTGAGACCCCGTCTCTAAAAAAATAGCCAGGTATGGTGGTGGGTGCCTGTGCCTGTAGTCCTACTTGGGAGGCTAAGGCAAGAGAATCACTTGCGTCCAAGAGTTGGAGGTTGCTGTGAGCTATGATGCCGCACTCTACCGAGGGTGACAAAGTGAGACACTGTCTCAAAAAAAAAAAAAAAAAAGCATATACTCTGATTTCTCTTCAGATGGAATAATTTTTTTTTCTTTTTTAACTAAAAAAAAAACAAAAAAAGAACATGCATAGGATGAGGTCAAAATACCAATAGTAATAAGAATTTAAAAGAAGTTGATTCCAGTCCTTATGGATGACTTAAGGGGTTTTTGAGACTTCAGTGGGCCAGGTGCAGTGGCTCATGCCTATAAATCCTAGCACTCTGGGAGGCTGAGGCAGATGGACTGTCTGAACTTAGGAGTTTGAGACTAGCTTGAGCAAGTAAGACCTCACTTCTACTAAAAATTAAAAAAAAAAATGGTGGGTATTGTGGCAGGCATCTGTAGTCCCAGCTACTTGGGAGGCTGAGGCAAGAGGATCACTTGAGCCCAGGAGTTTGAGGCTGCAGTGAGCAATGATGCCAGGGCAATGGAGTAAGACTCCACGCACACACATACATAAGACCAGAGGAGGAAGTAACTGCAGATGTGGGGGAAATGGCAAGAGAACTAGAATTAGAAGAGAAGCTTGAAGATGTAACTGAATCACTGCAATTTCCTAAGACAGACTTTGATGGATGAGGAATTGCTTCTTATAGGGCAGTATAGAAAGTAGTTTCTCTTTTTTTTGCAGTTTTTGGCTGGGGCTGGGTTTGAACTTGCCGCCCCCCATATATGGGGCTGGCGCCCTACTCCTTGAGCCACAGGCGCCGGCCAGAGAGTAGTTTCTTAAGATGAATCTACTTCTGGTGAAGGTGCAGCTAACATTGTTGAAATGACACAAAAGGATTTAGAATATTCCATAAACAGTTGGTTAGGCAGTGGAAAGGTAGGAGAGGACTAACTCTAACTTTGAAAGACATTTTACCTGTGGGTAAAGTGCTATCAAACAACATCACATGCTACAGAGAAATCTTTCATAGAAGAATCGAAGTGGCAAACTTTACTGTCGTCTTATTTTAGAAATTGCCACAGCCGCCCCAACACTTTTCAGTCAGGAGCCATCATCATTAATTCAAGTCCTCCGACTTGCTAAAGGCTCAGGTGATTATTAGCATCTTTTTTCCCCTTTTATTCTTTCTTGAGCTTTGAAATAAAGAAAGCACCTTTTATCAATAAAGTATTTTTAAATTAAGGTATGTACTTTAATTTTAAAAGACATGTCACTGCACACTTAAAAGGCTATAGTAGAGTATAAACATAACTTTTATATCGCTGGGAAACCAAAAAATTTGTAAGACTTGCTTTACTGCAGTGGTCTGGAACCAAACCTATAATATCTCCAAGGCATGCTTGTAGTTACAGACATTGCAGAGTACATGTTATGCCAGCTCTGGAATAGGAAGGGCCTTTTATAAACCATATTCTCCCTATACAAACTAGTACAGTTCCAGGCTCTACTGGAAAAGTGCTATAAGATAAAAAACAAGTTAAAAACGTCATTATAGACTTAGCACCTGTAGGTCAGTGGCTAGGGCGCCAGCCACATACACCAGGGCTGGCAGGTCTGAACCCGGCCTAGGCCTGCCAAACAACAATGACAACTACAAGAAAAAAATAGCTGGCCCATTGTGGTGGGTACCTATAGTCAGTCCCAGCTACTTGGGAGGCTCACTTGATTCTCTTGCAAGAATCACTTGAGCCCAAGGGTTTAAGGTTGCTGTGAGCTGTGACACAGCATTCTACCAAGGGCAACATAGTGAGACTCCGTCTCAAAGAAAAAAAAAAGCATCACTGTAGGCTCTTCATTTAATACATCTGTTGAACACCTACTACAGTATAAGCCAGACTTGCTGGCTGCCTGACTGAAACCTAAGATGGAAAGTGTCGGGTCTTTTAGTTTGCACTCCAGGGAGAAAGAGGCAGAGTCACACCATTAGAACACCATAATCATTGTATCTGAAAAACAGCTATTTCAAAGCTTACTAAACTTCAACCCCCCAATAGTGTCAATAGGTTCAGAGTTTCCATATGTGCTTCCATTTTTGGCAATGAAAAATGAGAATTTTATAATACAAACATAAAAGACTAGGATACTTACGTTTTGCCCATAATTTGACTGCTCTTAGGGTGAGTCTAAAAGTTTCTTTATTTGGCACTAAATGCAAAATTTCATCAGTAACTCTACAACCTGAAAAAGACAGAGCATTCATTCACTATGCAATAAAACCCAGTTAATTAAAATGCCCTAACTTAAGGTTAAAAAAATGAAAGATTATAAACATCAGTGTTTATTTTCTATATGTATTTGAAATTTAGTGCTTAAAGTATGAGTAACTTAACTTTAAAAAAATTAAACAATGCAAAGGTAATGCAACTCAACATTAAAACAGAAATGGGTTTGAATATCTTTTCATTTACGTCAATATTTAATTTTATTAATCAAATGCCTCCAACTTACAAAATTATCATTATTCTTCAATGCAAATCTTTTCTACAAATACTGTGATTAACTGTTAAACTTTGGAAATATAGCAAAGTGCAATGATTAACTTAAAGGACACTATAAACCAGTGGTTCTCAAAGTATGGTCAATGCACTCTAAGAATGTGAGGTCAAACCTATCTTTATAATAATACTAAGGCTTTTTTTTCCTTTTTCACTGTCTTAACATTTGTATTGATGATACAAAAGCAAGGGCGGATAAAACTGTTAGTATCTCGGCAGTGAATCAAGACAATGACAACAAACTATAGTAGCAGACAATAAATCTTCACTGCCACAACTTATAGCTAAGGAAAGGGAAAAGAACATTTGCGATTGACTTGAAAGCTGATCTACCTGCTTTTTTCAAGGAACACCAGTATTACTTCAAGGAAGGATTGATAGAGAAATTATGGTTATGCAGCTTTTATTAATAGTTATTTCCTAAAAAATGAACACAGTGAGCTCCTTACTTCAAGAAAAACAAATGACAACATTTAATGCCAATAATACAATTTAGCCTTTCAAATTAAATTAGAATTGAGTACAACTTCTATTTGCTACTGTGAGCTTTCTAAAACTTAAAAGACTTTTCTAGGTTGAGCACAGTGGCTCACACTTAAAATCCTACCACTCTGAGAGGCCAAGTCAGGAGTACTACTTGAGCACAAGAGTTTGAGACCAGCCTGGCAATACAGCAAGAACCCACCTCTACAAAATATTTTTAAAAATGAGGTGGTCATGGGGGTGCACACCTGTAATCCCAGCTATGCCATATGTTTGAGCTTGTTGTGAGCTATGATCATTTGACCACACTCTAGTTGGGGCAATAAAGCGAGATCCTATCTCCAAACAAATGAATAAATAAAAAATAAAAGACTTTTCTGATGATATTGGTGGTGATATGAATGAATACTAATTTTGATATTTTATAATGAAATGTGTGTGAACATTTGGAAAATCCAAATAACCTTGTGGCCTCAAATTTTCCAAATGACAATGGCATGACAATGCAACATCATGCATAGGTAAAAGAACCATTTAAAGAACAAAGCAGACTAGTGGATTTTCATGTGACATAGTACAAAAAGTTCACTGATATGGCTTTAGATTCCACAGTCTAACCCTTAGGAAATTATCAATCTTTCTCAGCAATAAAAGAGAAACATAAACATGGATGACCCTCACACACATGACACTAAGATAAAGTCAGGTACAAAAGAGCATATACTATACGATTCCATTTATATGAAATGTCTAAAAAGGCAAAAATCTACAGAAAAGGCAAATCTATAGAGAGAGAAAGAAAATTAGTGGTTGCCTGGGAATCAAAGTCAGAAGGGGAAATGACTGCAAATGGGTATGAGGGAATCTTCAGAAAGTGATGAAATGTTCTAAAAGTAGATTGTACTGTACAACTCTGAGAGCATAAAGACCACTGAATTATACCCCTGAAGGATTAATTCTATGTTACGTAATAAAACCTCAATAAAACTGTTAAAATTAAAAAAAGAAATTGTGGTCACTAGTCAAGTTTGGGTATAGAAGCAAAGAATAATAGCCATGATGATCTGAAACACTGCTCCTTGGCTAGGCACCTGTGGCTCAAGTGGCTAAGGCGCCAGCCACATACATCTAAGGTGGCGGGTTCGAATCTGGCCTGGGCCTGCGAAACAACAATGACAGCTACAACCAAAAAATAGCTGGGCGTTGTGGCAGGCGCCTGTGGTCCCAGCTACTTGGGAGGCTGAGGCAGGAGACTCGCTTGAGCCCAGGAGTTGGAGGTTGCTGTGAGCTGTGATGCCATGGCACTCTACCCAGGGGGATAGCTTGAGGCTCTGTCTCAAAAAAACCAAAAAAACAAACAAAAAAGAAAACACTGCTCCTTGTTCCAACTACATATCTCCAGGAGGCCAGATTTTTTTCCTATATGTTAACCAAAGGAAAATATAATAGACTATCTATTTTTCTATTGGGTATAATATTAAAGAGATTAAAAGAAATTGTTTAAAAGGGGTGGCATTCTTCACACAAAACCTTAAACTATGATAATATTACTACTTCTAAATGAGTACGTAAAATTATAAAAGAATTTCTCAGTTTTTATGTCTGTACTGGTAAATATTAACAGATATAACCCATATACACAAAAGCTCTCGGTGTCCTCAATAAATCTTAAAAGGACAAATGGGTCCTGAGACCAGTTAAGTTTGAGAACCAATACTATTAACATAAACAACCCTTCAAGTAAACTTGTGATTTTTAGGATAATTAAAGGTGATGACATTATTCATAAAAATAAAATTACATGATTTTTAAATGAGTTAATCTAATCTCTAAAAAAGTCCACTGATAGTCAATTCTGCAGAAAGGTCTCTATTTTAGTCTAATTGTTTTTAAGTAGATATCTTCAATTTCTTCTTAGAAGCTTACCATTTAAGCTGCGAATACACCTTATATCAAGGCTTCTCAGGCGAGAGTCATCCCTTAGATCTAAATTATCTGATATGGTTTGTATTGCCAGTCTTGCAAAGACTAGATCAATCTTTGGGAAGATAAAAATAAAAAAAGAAAAATATTACTTCTCCTCCTAGTTCATCCTCCCCCATCCCACCTAAAAATGTAAAAAGTTCTAATTATTAGTCTGGGAAGTGCTACTAAAACTTCAAAAGGCCTATGTATAGGCAACTTCACATGGGAAAATCACTGCAAAGTTGTGTTAAAGTAATTAAAATCTTAAATTAAGTACAGTATTAATTTTAGCATATATGTCAAACATTTAAAAAATATCAAAACCTTATGAGTGAATTTCTGAAGATGGAAGATCCAACACACATTTACATTCACTCCCTCTTGAAACCTCACTAAAATACCATAACATTTTTGTTTTATTTTTTGTTGAGTCAGTTTAAAGGCAAACCCCACTAGGACAAAGAAAACAAAAGATGGTGGCGCCTGTAGCTTAAGCGACTAAGTTGCCAGCCACATGCACCAGAGCCGATGGTTCAAATCCATAGGACCTACCAAAAAATGACAACTACAACCAAAAAATAGCTGGGCGCTGTGGTGGGTGCCTGTAGTCCCAGCTACTCAGGAGGCTGAGCGCAAGAGAATCACTTAAGCCCAGGGGTTTGAGGTTATTGTGAGCTGTGATGCTATGGCACTCTACCCAGTGATAGCTTGAGGCGCTGTCTCAAAACAAAACAAGACAACAGCAAAAGCTATGAAAGCTGGAAAGCAGATGGACAAGTGGTAACAGATTTAGCATAACTAAGAAAGCAGATAAAAATGCTGTATCTAAGAATAAGGACAGGACGCTGTAAATAAATACACAAATAAAAAGGAACATATAAAGAATAAAAACTCTTCTCAGAAATTAAAAATATGAGGCTGGGTACAATGGCTCATACCTATAGTATTAGCACTTTGGAGGTTCAGCACCAGCCTCAGCAAGAAGACCTCATCTCTATAAAAAAAACCCAGAAAAATTAGCTGGGTGTAGTGGCATATGCCTATAGTCCCCACTCAGGAGGCTAAGGCAGAACTGCTTGAGCCCAGAAGTCTGAGGTTGCAGTGAGCTCTGATGACACTGCTGCACTCTAGCCAGGGTGAAAGAGCAAGACATAGTCTCAAAAAGAAAAAAAAAAGAACTTAAAAATACCAGCTGGGCGAAGCAGCTCACGTCTGTAATCCCAGCACTTTGACAGGCGGAGGCAGGAGGATTGCTTGAGCCCAGGAGTTCCATACCAGCCTGAATAGCATAGTGAGACTCAGTCTCTCCAATAAAAATACAAAAATTAGCTGGTGTAGTGGCACAGGCCTTACAGTTCCAGCTACTTGGGAGGCTGAAAGAGGAAGATTGCTTGAGCCCAGGAGTTAGAGGTTGCAGTGAGCTGTGATGACACTATTGCACTCTATCACAGGTGACAGAGCAAGACTCTATCTTTAAACAAAAGATTAAAAATATGACAGCAGACATAAAAAACAAAAGAAAGTTCAGAAGATGAGAAAACCTCAAAAAGCAGAACTATGAAAATATGGTTAATAAGTGGGAAGAGATTAAAAAAAAAAAAAAAGGCAGTCCTGGAGGTCCAACATACAAATGTTAGAATTTCAGAAAGAAAAAACAAGGCAAGAAATCCAACAGAATTCAATAAAACTTCCAGAACTGAACAAGAATTTACAAATTGAAAGAGAAATATTGAATGCCTAATACATTGGTTGAAAAGCTACATACCAAAATATTAATATACTTATGATGAATTATACAATTATTCAAAAAATCTTATAAACTTCCAAAGAGACAAATTGGTCCATATACAAAGAATCAAGAACCAAAATGGCATTACACTTCACATCACAGTACAGAAATTAGTGAAAATGAAGAAAGGCCTTCAAAATTCTTCTAAGAAAAATAGTTTCCTACCTAAAATGTTAAACTCAGCCAAATTATCAATTTAATGTTAAGAATAAAATGAAGACATTTTTAAACATGCAAGATATTTTAAAAAGGGCTCCTTCTCAAGAAGCTAGGATGAGCTTCACTAAAATGAGAATGAATCAAGAAAAAAGAAACTTTAGAGAGAAGCAAAACGAAATTCCAGGATGATAGTAATGGAATATGCCAGGGTGATAGTTGTGTAACAGTCATGGAGCACAGGTTAGATTAAGAAGATTCAGTGAGGTGTTTTCCCAAGATTATAATGATGTAATACCTGATAAATCTAAGCTTATTTAGAGGAGATTTAGAAAACTAGAAAAGACTAGGTTAGAGTTATAAGTCCAAAGTATAAAAACCAAGCAAGCAAAGCTCAAACAATTATTAATTCCTAAAAAAAGCAAAATGTTACACAGTAAAGAATGGTAATCTAGTATGCATATAATGCTTATCTCTGAAGACTATGTAAGAGATTATAGGAATAAGAAGGGTGCGTACAAAAATCTGAGGGGTAGAGATATAGGTTGGTTCATTTTTCATGGTAAGAAGTCAATAAAAAATAAGAGAGAAAGGAGACAATTTAAAGATGAATTGAGTTTTTTAAATATGCACTTATGTTAAGTTTGACTTCAAAGCAAAATATAAAAACCCTTAGAGGTTAAATAGTTTGACTGTAAAGTCAGAAAAATATTAAATACTTACTTCAATACCATCAAATTCAAATTTAATAACTGGTACAAAGGCATCTTCTACAGCCTACAAAGAGGAAAACAATTACAACACATAAGTATAATCCTTTCTCTATTCTTCCTAACTGCCTATAATGTGAATATTTTTGCTCCTTATTTGTATTTTGACTCAATAGAAAAAGAGAAAATGTTCTGGGTCTTGTGTTCCAGGCAAGTACTTCTTTGTGCTCTATGTGATTTAAGATATACAAAATGGGGCGGCACCTGTGGCTCAAAGGGGTAGGGCACTGGCCCCATATGCTGGAGGTGGCAGGTTCAAACCCAGCCCTGGCCAAAAAAAAAAAAAAGATATACAAAATGGCTATCTAAGTTAACTAACCAGTTAACTAACTTACTATCCTCTTAAAAATATTTCTAAGAAACTGGTAGGTAGAACTACTATCATCTGGGTACTTATTATTTCTTGACTCTAAATTAAAAACTGATTATTTAGAAAGAACACTAGTGCTAAAAATTGAAAATTGAGATCTCATGACTAATCTATAAAAATAATAACATATTCAATACAGTTTGGATTACTTTAGTAGAAATAATGTCTTCCTTAATCTCTTGACCTACAAATTCTTAACCTCCTTGTCTGAAAGTACTCCCAGATTCCTTTGAATGTGCACCCATCATTTGATGTGCACCATTTATAAGTTATTACAGTAAATGGTTTATGTAAATTACCTCATTTAATTCTTAGAAAAACCTTATTAAAAAAGTTGACAACACATCGTCAGTTTATAGATGAAGAAACTGAGGCTCACAGGTAATTTGCTTGATGTCTAGGTGCTAATATGTGGTAGATTCTAGATGCAAACCCAGATATGTTTAACTAATAAAACCCATGCTTTTAATCATTATGTGTTATTTTGACAAAATAAAGCAACTTCTTTTTTTTTTTCTTGAGACAGTCTCACTCTGTTGCCCTGGGTAGAGTGCCATGGTATCATGACAGTTCACAGCAACCTTAAACTCTTGGGCTTAAGCAATCCTCTTGCCTCATTCCCCAAATAGCTGGAACCACAGGCATGTGCCACTACACCTAGCTAGTTTTCTATTTTTAGTAGAGATGGGGTCTCTCTCTTGTTCAGGCTGGTCTTGAACTCCTGAGCTCAAGCAATCCACCTGCCTTAGGCTCCCAGATTGCTAAAATTACAGGCATCAGCCACCATGCCCGGCCAAGATATACTAACTCCTTAAGAGGTATTTCAATAATTTTATTGTAGCATACCAATGGATGGGGGGGTCAGAGACAGTTTGTCTTCCCCTGTCTTTGACTCCTCTTATTAGCTCATGACTTTTAAACCCTAGCTTTTACTGTTATTTGTTACTAAACTAAGTTGAAAACATTAAATGCCAGAAGATACTTACTCTTAAGTTTCTAATTCCATCTTGATGTTTCAATTTTTCAAAAAAAGACTGAAAAAAATCAGATCTCTCCACATGTCTTGGAGCAACACAAAGTGCATCAATGTCAGCTCCTATAAATCAAAATGTTTATCAAAAAGAGTATAGTATTTATTACATTTTTGTTAAAGTACACACAAGCATATATACAGAAGAAATTATGAAAGATGAGTACACGAAAATGTTAACAATTACTTCTGAACAGTGAGACAATAAGAATTTTATTCTCCTATATTTTCTTATTATGAACAATAAGGGTTTGTTATTGAAAGTTCTGTTTGCTAGACCATAGAAAAGCAGTTACCTTTGGTGTGTACTCCAAGTCTATAGGATCCAAATGTGAAAATTTTACCACCAACAGTAGCCACAACAGAAGGTGGGAGATTCTAAAATAAAATTAAGCAAAAGACATTTAATTATTCAAGTTATTTAGCACAAAAATGACCTTAATGCCTATTGCCCGTTATCACACAAATGAAATACAATACTTTTGTCAGGGTTGGTAAGATGAGTACTTCAGGACATCTTCACTTGCAACTTGAAGAAATGAAGAGTATTCCAGAAGGAAGACAGTCGAAAATCATGTCCACTAAATATGCACATATCTTTATCTTAAGAAAAGCATTCTTTAAAACATTTGACCCTATTTGTCCCCTCTGGTTGCCTGTCTTTGGCCTCATCGTTCTCATCACCTCACCCAGCCTGAACAGGGTCATTTTTCCTTACGATAGTTAATCTAACAACTTTAATTAATGTTTCTTATATTATGCCATAATTAAAATGCTAGTTTTTGGCCGGGCATGGTAGTTCATTCCTGTAATCCTGGCACTCTGGGAGACTGAGGTAGGATGATCTATGGAGCTTAGAAGTTTGAGACTAGCCTGAGCAATAAAGGGACCTCATTTCTACTGAAAATAGAAAAATTAGTGGGGTGTGGTGGCAGGCTCCTGTAGTCCCAGCTACAGGAGGCAGGAGGATCTCTTGAACCCAGGAGTTTAAGGCTGCTGTGAGCTAGGCTGATTCCATCACACTCTAGCCACTAGAATTCCACTCTTCATTATTCTTACTGCCCAGACTTAGAATTATTCTTACCCATTCTTAGCTTATATCCCTCACATTTGTTGCCCCTTCTCTATCCAACTCACTGCATTTGCCACTGTCTCTTTCTTGAATGCCCATCCT